TATTTCTAGTACTATCATTGGGAGATGTTCCCAATACACACAGGAATATGCTGTGGGGCGCCCCACAAGATGTTAATTCATGAGGAGCAGACCTGGACTCTCCGTGTACATCATTGCACTGGCACTTGCGACCTTGTGTCTTCACACGTAAGAAGTGAATATAAACTTATTAACCAAGTTAATCGTGTCAATCCAAATCAATTCAATGTCTCAATCGGCCTTTATTTTATTTTATTTTTATCAACGGGTTCGGCTATGATACCGGAAGGACATGATACCTGAAAACTTACAATAAATTAACTGGTACGATGGTATCATAGAAGAGGTGCCCAGTCAGAGGCTATTCATCAAAATTCATGGGCGTACCTTGATTGTTCAAAGCTCTTCAGATACCATATCTTTCCCGGTATCATAAATTTTCCCGACCTTTATAGTTGTTAGGGAAGGGCATTTGCTTCTTTTACGAAGGAGACAATCAAATTGATCGCGTCAACCCAAAGCAACTGAGTCAAGTCAACTCAATCGGCCGAGTGAAATTAAGTATAAACTCTCCTTGTTTACACATTGATATCAAAACGTGGTCAACTGGCCATTAGGAAATAGGGAAGGGTGTGCTTGCCTCTTTCATTGAAGGAGCGGTATAATTATAAACCAACCAAGTTGGTCGCGTTGCGTCAACCCAAATGAACTGAGCCGTCAATTATTAGACCGAGTTAAATTGAGTTTAAGTATTAACTGCCCATCTCGAATCAATGTTTAAATGTTGATATCATAGCGTGGTCATCGGGGTAACTCAGATGGTCAAGAAACCGAAACCATCAGCATCAGGGATAATTTGATAGACATATCCATATGACCGCATTCTCATCCTTAACATATACGCCTTAAGCACATGCACAAAGCTCCAAATATCTGATTTGATTGCTCAAACAAAAAAGCTCGAAAAATAGTTACTTATCTTAGCAGATTATTCATTCTCATTATTATCCATCTAAATATAAAATAGATTCTTTTCTATCGACATGTAACATGATTAGCCATAACTCCATTAATGTAAGCTTGTCTTATACCGCTAGTCTTAAGCCCGAATAAATGAGGATTGAGGCATCTTTTCAAACTCTTATCGTAATGGATCTTGATGCATCTTTTCATGCATGCTTATGTTTGAAAGAAATCTGCTACAGCGTCCGCAATTTAATGATGGATGTAGCCTGAACAGAATGGAATTACAAAACAGGATTATTGATATAGCTGACCACATTTATGGAAGAAACAAAGCTTAAATGATGATGATGTAACATGAGTAGGTATGGATAGGATGAATCTAGTGCGAATTCATGAACAAAGCAAAATGGAAAAGGAAGAGTTCCAAATGATCTTGCAAATTAAGTGAACGTGGGTGATGAAATGCTATAGGATAATGCACATTCAGCTTTATTCTTTCTCTCTCTCTCCATGTGGATTAACATGCATTTACGACCAAAGCTAGTGGAGGGCACAATTATATGTGTAATGCAAACATGTATCAAACACCCGATATGCATGTTTGTATGTGTATGGATAGGATGAGTGTAAATATAAATATGTACATTATAAACTAATGTTTTTAATCCATTGTTGACTTGGACAATCGAACTGTTCAAACCGTCATCCGGTTAATTTTTTGGGTTCAGTTCTCATAAAACCTGGGATTTGTTAAAAAATCGCTGACAAGTTAGTAAACCGGACGACTTGGATGCTTGAACCATCGAACTGGTGACCTAGGTAGTGGGCAACGGTTCAATTATCAATCTATACTTTTTAGTCCATTTTTTAGGTTTAAAAAATTGAAAAATTCCCCAAAAGTCCCAACTCGATCCCCCTTCTCTTTTTACATTTTCACTTTTTCTCTTTTTTTTTTGCATTTTTTGATTTATATTTTTTGTAAATATTAGGCATTTTTATAAGTTTTAAGATATTTCAGACGTTTATTTAGCTATTTATAATTTTATATCAATTTCTAGATATTTATACAGGTTTCATATATGTGTATATAATGTATACTTTTTTACTATTTTAATTATGACATCACCGAACTGAACCGTTCGACCTGCCCCGGTTGAACCAGTAACCTGTGACCCATTGGGAAGACTGGGTCAATTTCCAGGTCAGTTTTAAAAACATTGATATAAATACAAGGTTTTGTATCAAACATATTTATATTTGCACTCTTCTCAAACTGAACATTGATGAATGGAAGTGCTATAAAAGTGTATATAACGAACTAGCAGGATTGGAGCGACACAGGATTTGTCAAGGAAAAGTGAAACAACGGAAACTGTTAAGTATTTATTATAAGGAAGGAATGCAATGTTATTTAAAATAATTAATATTTATTTTAATAATTTGTTACAAAAATAATTTACTTATTTAGTTATTTGGATTAATTATATTAATAAATTTTAACAAAAATAATAAGCTACTGTTGATTACTTAATAAAATAATTCTTTCTTCCATACTATTTATTAGTTTTCTATTTTATTTATTTTACTTTATTAATGATTAAATGCTATAATTTTTTTGTAAATGTTACTTAAATATTAGTAAATATATAAAGTTGGGTTGTAGTCATAATTAAATTAATCTATAAATTAACTTTTTTTATTCATAATTAAATTAATCTAAGCCTGAGCTTAAGGTTTGACTTTCCTTGATCCTCAACCTGACCCAACCACCCGATAGGCATATTTGTGTGTATCAATACTTTGAATCTTGGGCTTAATTTGGGAAGAGTGCAAATACAAATGTAAAATATAAATACAAGGTTTGGGAATATCGAATATAAGTGCTACAAAAGTGTAGATTACGTTTTAGATAAGTTCTCAATACCAAACAATAACCCTTTTTCACCTTTCTAACTTTTTAATGATAGCAATCTTTTGATAAATTCATTGGACAAACCCCAGCCAATATACGAAAATATCCCTATTAATACCTAGCAAAAGTTCCATGTATGGTTTGGGTAATTTTGTCCTGTGAATTTAGTGCCCTTTGACTGTAAAAAAAAAATGCTATGCTTATCTCTCTATGTTTTATAAATTTATTCTTTTTTTCTTTATTCTTTTTTTTACTTTTACTGTCTATTGTATCATAACTTTTTCTGCAACACATAAGCAGAATTGTTTTCTATTTTACTGAATGAATGATGTAATTAAGAGAACCTAGAGAGGGTAACGGATATTTCTTCAATTATTTCTTCCTTCAACTTAGATATTAGGCCCACAAAACTCTCTCATGCCCATTAGAGAGAGAGAGAGAGTAAAATGGTCCAACTACTTCCACCACGTTCCATACTATTAAATCTTCAATTCAAACTCCCCTCATTTATTTATTTCACTGAATCACAGCCCACTTTATTCTTTCATCTACATCACTTTCATCAAAGAGATTAATTTAACTAAAAAGATGTTAATGAGGCGAGGTTTCAAAAGGGGTCCCAATCGCTTATGAAAGGGCTTCAAAAAGAGTTTTGAAGAGAGTTTCTCTTTCGCGTGCCCAACGAGCTGACCTTCTCCTCCATACAGAGAGGTGGGCCTTACTCTCTCTCTCTCAGGACTCCAGTCATTATCTGTTAACAAGGCCCATCACTGAGGATGGTAGGAACTAGAAAATTTTGAAAAAATTGTTCTGCCTCTATGGTGGCAAACATGTTTATTTAAATTTCTAATACATAACGCAAATTCTTAGTCCAAACAAGCCAGACATCCAACGAACTATTTGGACCGACTAGGTGTAGAAGTCTGACAAATAGCTTCTACATTTTCTATAGGTGAAAGAGATTGCTAAATTTATAGAGAAAAAAGGTTAAAAATTTTACTTATCTTAGGTCCAGATTTATCCAACAAAGCTGGGGGGAGGTAAAAGGTTTGGTGCAAGAAATTGGCAAGGGCTTGTTTGTTAAATTTCTTTTATGTCACCCAACATAAAACAAAGAAAAAACCCATTGTTTAGATAATAATACCAAAGCATCCGTTATTCCGTTATACTAGTCCAGTAGTTTAGTAAAGAAGGATGAGCCAGATAAGTGGTTATACAGTTCCTAAAGCAGCAATTAAGTGTAGTTAGAGTTGGGACTTTTTGCTAATAAAACATGTTCCAACCCTTTACCAATTTGATCTAACATCGTATACCTGAAACCCATCATAAAAGTAGGACCCATGACGTATGAGATGTGTAGCCACTCTTAACCCGGATTAGCTGCCCTTGAAGACTGTCTTAGGAGCAAGGGCTGTTTAACCAATAAAATTATAAAAATGCTCTATGTTATATATCTATGGACGAGTGGTTATGGGGCATATATACCTTAATTATGGGTTTATGGTTTACGTGGAGCGTTATTAACGATTATACAGCTACTAAAACAGCCACTAAGTGTAGCTAATTCGGACTCGAAATATGATAGGTCACTAGGTTGTATGATTCAAACAAAAAAATGAAAAAACACATGTAACTCATAAGTCGCAACCGAGTTCGGCTTCTGTCAGGCAAGTCCGTTTCAGCAGTCTTTACAATTTTGAAATATCTCGTTATTCATGTACTTTATTTTATGGGAAGATATTCCTGATGCAATATTGCAAGAGGCTGTCGGGACGGTGTGAAGCCGGGCTTGCCCTGAAATCCTCCTACGTACTTGAAATATGAATGAATAGCGTGTATTTTGGAGAGAAGTAATTTTAAGCTAAAAATCAAAAACAAAATAAAAAAAACGTCATTATTATTTTATTTAGATTAATTTGGTTTTTAATTTTTTTTACTTCTATCTTTGATTTTTCTTCCACAAGAAAATGTTGAAGAGGGGAAATAAAAAAAAAAAAAAAAAAAAAACGGTTGCTGTATGTTCAAACTGGAAAAGTATTAAGAATTATGACGAAAATAATGACGACAATTTTAATCATCGTGGAATTCCAATATTCCATCCAACGCCTATATATTCCACCTCATTTGGCCGAAGGGAGGGCATCCATTTTTCACAGTTCTAGACCTCCTGTTCCTACTGGCATCACCAACAAGAAAAACAGAAACATCTGAAGCTCGGCTAGACATGGAAACAAGCGAAACCACCACCACCACCACCACCAATACAACTGGCACCGCTTCCCCTCTCTCCCTTTCTCCTTGTTCTTCTTCACCTCCTCCTCTTCCCCCTCCCGTCGTAATCAGCCCCTGCGCCGCCTGCAAGATTCTCCGTCGACGATGCGTCGAGAAATGCGTCCTCGCTCCCTACTTCCCTCCGACCGAGCCTCTCAAGTTCACAACTGCCCATCGAGTGTTCGGTGCTAGCAACATCATCAAGTTCTTGCAGGTAAATTAATCTACCATATATACATGATTTGCTCGTTTCGTTTCTCGATTAGAGAGTTTTCTGCAATGGAAAGAACTCCCAACTCATTAGTGCTAGTTTCTTCCTGTTTGCTCCGGTGAAGCAACAAATGGAGCAAGCATGGACACCCCAATAGTCAATTCTGTTAATTACTCCATCAGAATTGTGTAAGTAGGCTCGATGCTGATGGTGAATTTTATTATGTAATCTCAGGAGCTTCCCGAGTCACAGAGAGCTGATGCAGTGAGCAGCATGGTCTACGAGGCGAATGCGCGAATTAGAGACCCAGTCTACGGGTGCGCTGGCGCAATTTGCCAGCTCCAGAAGCAAGTGAACGAGCTTCAAGCACAATTGGCCAAGGCCCAGGCCGAGCTCGTCAACATGCAATGCCAACAGGCAAACCTACTGGCCTTAATTTGCATGGAGATGGCACAATCTCAACAAGCCCCCTTGTTGCAACAACAACCCTTCGACAACTTCATGATAACTAGTCCTCACAGCTTTCAGACCAGCAATGGGATCTTCACCGACGACACCAGTCTCGGCTCCACGTGGGAACCACTATGGACATGATTTCATCAACCCATCCTCCGTCCGGCGAGTCACCGGTTTCTTTTCCGGTTCTTATTAATTGAGTGCACCAGGAGGGAAAGATCCAAGAGACGTAGTTAGAAGTTAGGACTTAGAAGAAGCCAGAGCAGAAGTAATAAATTAATGCTAATCCAACTTGATGATCATCGGAAAACTGTATGAATAAACTAAAAAAAAAAAAAGAAAGAAAGAGCGAATGAATGGAAAAAAACAAACACCCAAATTGAAGACAAATTAGAGTCTAAGGTCTGGTGGGGCTTTCCTTCCATGTATTCTTTAGATTGTAAGAACTGCTTCTGTATCTTTCTATCAATTCTTAAATCAAAAAAAAAAAAAAACAAAGTTTTAATTAATTTCTTGGTAACCCACTACCCTGTCAAATTCTGTTTGCTCTTCATTACTTTCTTTTGAGCGGTGGATACTTCTGCTTTTCCTTGGAAGGAAAACAGGAATTAATTAAACCTGAAATTTTGGAGGAATTGAAACTCATGCACTTCGGATAAAGCAAATTAAAATTATCTAACACGTTAATTCAACAACCCATCTTTCGAATACTCTCTTCTTTCATCAATCTGTTGTTTGGTAGCGACTTAACACGAAACCCTTTTACATTGCATTGATGAAGAAGCAGTTCCAAGATGCTTCTTCCATGCCATGCTCCGACCAACGATTCTGATTAGATTCAAGACTGTGTCGGACCCATTATATGTTTGCTTTTCATCAACACCGCACATGTATCTATCTAGCTCCAAAGGGGCATTGGGTCATCATCTCTCTGTTGGCAATCATAGATGTCCCCATGAAACCAAAAACGCGTCTCCACACTTTCTTTTTTATACTTTTACACGGGCACGGGCACCACCAAAATGGGTCATAACTCATAACCGTATTCCTTGTGAACAAGAGATGTGATATTGTCGGCAACCGAGTATTATGTTGTCTCCTCCATCTGCCTCTCTCTCTCTCTTTCTCTCTCTCTCTCTCTCTCTCTCTCTCTCTGTTGTCTGTGAGAGTTGAGAGTTGGACAGCTCCAGCTCTATCAACAAATGGGTTTCATTTTTCCACGCTTGAACGGGGAGATAGTTTGACTAAGGGGAGCGCCTCCCCCTACATTTCGCCCATAGCTAACCACATCAACCAACCAAGAAGCATGAAATTCAAAGTCAAAGGCAAAGCCCCATGCCAACGGTTCTGTTGTCATCTCAGCAATGGAAATCTAGACTAGTCCTTAGCCATATGGACTCAAGGGAATAGAATATATGGAACCGCTAGATCCTCTGATTATTAATTAGGTTGGGGTTTTGGTGTAAATGATCTTTCAGATGTGACCTCCGGAATGATGGGTCCTTGCCCAATGCCACACCTCCACGCTCAAGGTTGGGCTAGCTGTATAGAGGCTTCTCTTCTGAAGGCATATTCAGTCGGTCAGTCTATACAGGAGATCTAACGAGAAAATTACAAGTCCCAGAGCTCTTTCTTCAATTAGGAGACGATGACAGTCTCTGTACGTATGTTTCTCTCATAATGGTTTGACATAGGTTAAATCGCTAAGCTGGAAGAAGCAAATATATATAGTTAAGAATTAGGCACCCCCCTAGTTTTGTCAAATCATGCTTCATTTTTCTTTTCAATCAGGTCCGAAACCTTTCCTTTTCAGAGCCATTAGCCATAGTACAATTAGTCCTCCCTGGTGGGTCTAATTATTTTGTTACAGAAACCACCCCGCTAGCTAGCTCCTGCAGCATGCATATCCTGCACTCAGTAGTCCTTTTACGCGGAAAAGAAATCCATTTCTCAGTACAGAGTCAATAGTATCATCCTGTTATTTACTCGTTGATGGATGGAAAATTTTGTTTGGTGTGTTTTTTTTTTTTACTTCTAAGTTTTATCAAGGAAGGATTGTTACTCTTTGCTGTAAGTCTGCAGTATGAACTCATGGAAATGGAAGAGTTAAAGTCTTCTAAATTATTCCAGTTGTTGACGAATTTAATTGAAACCAAGATAGACAATTACCAAACTCATAGAAAGAAAGAATCCTGTCCCTCGACGTAGAACTGATTTTTTTAAAAACTAAATTAATTAATCTCAATAAAATTCCATGTTGAGATTGAAAATTGATTGGAACCCAGTTGATCAGTTCTGGATTAAGAGGAAACAATAAGATAATCAACTGCATTGATTATTTGTCTGTAAATTAGTAGGAAATGAACCAGTTGCCATCATTTAATTAGTGCAAGTGTTACTAATGTACAGGGAATTCCAGACTAGAACAATCATTACAAAACAGATTGTAATGGGAACGAAGAGAGGATGTGGTTTGACAGGGTTCCTGTGTGAAGACTCTTAAGTAATTGATATGGGGCCCATTTAAGCTTTTGATCTTAATTCCCTCAGCTTTTTTTATATACTTTTGATCATGGCTGATCCCTTTTTTTCGTCCTCTAAAGGTCACCTTTTCTTCTCTCTCTAGTCTATGGATATCGAGTTGGTCCAAATTATCCGTGCAGTCTTGTAAAGTATTACTTTTGCCATCCAATTTCTTCTTTTCTCACTTCAAAGTTCAAGCTCCTTGGGCGCTAGGGTAGTGCCCTGTGTATGTTAGTTAATCATTTCCTTGAAATCTCAACCGTTCATGTCCTGGATGTGATCATCAATCTACTGATCATCTCGCATGGAACAATTTTTTTACATCATATGCATGATTGTATATTGAGAAGAATGCAATTTGGCATATTATTCCTACATTATATGAATGCTCTAAGGGATGGGTCCCTAGAGTTTCCTGAGAGAGAGAGAGAGGAGCTCTTTAACTAAATTCTTTAATAAATGACTTTCTAGAAGAAAGTCTTTTACACCATAAGGTGGAGAAGCTGAAAAGCTGGGCATGCACTAAAGGGTTTACAATTTGAACAGTTTTTTTTTGTAAAAAAGAAAAAAATAATAAAAGTAAAAACTCATCTTCTTATGTATTAATTAATTTAATTTCAGAAAAAACTTAATTAATTTATTTAATAACTATTTTCTTTTTTCATAAAACCTTCACCAAACCCTAATACTCTTAAGAGATATATTAATAATATGTGTTTCAAAGACAATACACAATCATCTCCACTCTTTTTTCAATGCGTGCTGCCTACCACATCTTGAAACAAGGTGAATACTTTTCAGAAAGAGTCAGCGAAGGACGAGTCAAATTGCCACGTCATTCATAATTTCTTTTTATAAATATTATTTATTATGAATAAATAAATAAGTCAAAACAAATGATGATTCCATGCATTGCGTACTATGGTAGTAATTTATGTCTAACCCGGTCCAGACCAAAAAGTGCCTGAACTGAACCAGAATTGAACTCATACCAAAAAAACCAGAATTAAACAAATATGGGAATATGTTAATTACCCAAAACCAACCATATAATGTTTTTTTTTTCGCGAAGTAATGGGGTTTGAAGTAGGGCTAGCTGTCGATCTGATATTAAACATAATGTTTAATCAAATAAAAATCTACAATGCCGAACGACATTATATCAAAAAGACTTTAAGCAATCAAAACCCTCGTAAATCTTGATGAAAAATCATCTGATTGATAACCATTTTTATGATATCGGTTGATCAGTGATATATTTTTCCGATATCATATCTTTTCGGTATCATTGTCAAACCTTTAGACTGTGTTTGGTTTGAAGGAAAAGATAGGAGTGTTCGGTAATATGAATGGTTTTGTTTTTAACAACTGCCACATATGCAAAAAACAATAATAGGGTTTGAAGTATGGCTGTCGATATTATATTAAAATGAATGTTCAATCAAATCGGATTGAAATTACTATTTGATATTGTTTTTGTTGATGGGTGGCAGTTGTTTTGTTTTCAAAAACAAAACGGTGTTTATGTTAAACTCTGAACCCACTACATTACAGCTGAATGGCTGAATTGAATTATTTACCGTTTGGTATTTTAATGAATTAGTTATTAAAAAAGTTTAATTGATTATTATTTAATTATTTGTTAGAAGACAAAGCAATTTCAATAACTTCAGCTTGCCGTTATCAAATGACTCCTTACCAACTTTTCTCTCTCTCTCTCTCTGACGTGGTCTACCCTTTGACATGGCATGATGTAATTGGTCGGTATATGAAGGAAATACACATACACGTATACATATGAACCAAAGTGAACTCATCTCCACTGAGGTAAGACCCCAAATTAGGCCGTAAACCAGCAGAATGACTTGACTTCCTCTTTAGGGTACGGTGACTTGTACCCTATGTCACACGCAAACTGGTGAAGAGTAAAGACAACCCAAATTGATGATGAAATGCAATATTATACGACCGACATTTATGGAATCAGTTAGAACGTTTTATCAGTCTCAGCCAACCTATTTCGTGGACACATATACTGTATATGTTAGACGTGGACATAACTTAAGAAAGGAATCTGAATTCAGCGTTCAGCTTTCCACGATATTCACAAGTCAGACGTGGACACATGCATATATGTATATGACTTAAGAAATCTACGTATACATGAATTGATGACTAGGCTATCCAAGTGTCCTGTCTAGCTAGTTTCCTTCCCTCATATTTCGTTTTACACATTCTCTGGTCAGTTAGTCAGGGAGTCAATTAGTCAATTCAATTCCAACTCTTGGAAATTAGGCAGAAGCTTAGGACTTTAGGAGGTGATCATCCTTTTGTTTATTGGTGTCGAGATTTGCTGAATCGATCAACCATAGAGGAGTTTTTAATGTTAAGACAGGAATTAATGTAGTCAAGTAGTGAAATTGATGCACTCCAATGAAGCACTTTTTTTAAATAATTTCCACACAAGAATCCATGCAAAAACCTTTCTTATTCTACTAGTCTGTGACTATAGAAGTTTTGTGTCAATAAAGAATTGAAAATCCTTCGTTTGTTTCTTGCTTGTTTCTTCACATAATTATATGTTTTCTCTCTTCTTTTGTAGTTTAGTATGAAGACTTAGTCTCAATCCTTAATTCACGCTGTAAAGATAGTATATAACACCATGTAAATTGACCAATAAGAAGCAGAAGGACTCTTATGTGAAGAAGAAGAAGAAGCAGAAGAAGAAGGAATTGATCTTGCACTCTTAAGTCTTAACTTTGGAATTACTGGTTTCACTGTCTAGCAAATCAGAAATAATTTCATCTATGGCAAG